CTCGCCCCCGCCAAGTCATTCTCTACCCTCTTAGCCAGTCTGTCTCTTATGTACCCAAGTTCCCCAGCCCCAAATCACAGTACACACAAAGCATTTTTCCAAACTCTTAGCCTTTGAATTCCCAAAGCCAAGGAGGACCAGGCACACGGTAAAAACTCCATAAATATTTGATGAGCAGAAGAGAAGCTGTGCTGAGAAATTAAAGAGCCTTACGCTGACCTGGTGGGTCTTCAACACCAAACGGAAAGGTGGAGCTACACCTTGTGCGATCACAGAGCGCGTCAGGAAAGAAACCTGTGTGCAAAGAGTCAGAGCGACCACAGGTGTTCACGCCCTGCGTCCCTGCCCCGGAACCTCAGCCTCCCCACTGCTGTCCCCCGGGCGCTGCCTCTAGCAGGAATGGCAGCCTCCACCCTCGTCTCCTGGAACCCTGTGGTCACGTGAGAACGAGGATGCGGGATCCTGCCAGCGGGAGCCCATGCCACCAGGAGAGGCCTGGAGAAGGGACGCTCCGTGAGGAGGGGACAGAGATGCCGGAGCGTCACCGCGGAGATGGTCCTCTGGCCCTGCCACTCCAGCTGATGGCACTGGGATCGGAGACGAACCTCTGGACAAGCCCTTCCGGAGTCCCCGACCCACAAAATTGTGGGTCAGAGCAAAAATGGTGATTTGAAGCCACTGAGTATGGTGGTAGTTTGTCATGTGGCCAAAGCCATCAGGTGGGAAGAGATTTCTGGAAGCGGGGAGAAAACAAGTCACAAACAGAATGTTGCAGGACAGCGCACTAGGGAAGAGAACCACCACAGGCACGCCCATGGGTGACACGGGTGACCCACAGGGCCGCTCTTGGATTTCTGCAGGCAGCAAGGCAGCGAGATCTCTTCCGCGGATAAGGGGGCGGGGGAGGGGCAGAGCGGAGGAAACAGGTTCAGGGACACCGGAAGGGACAAGACACAGGTGCCCACCGTGTTCCTGTCTCCCTCACCATGGCTAAAGTCAGCACAGGCTACTGTACTCAGCCCAGGCTTTCGCAGCTAAGAATCCGGAGAGCTGCCGAGAATTCAGAGAATTCAGAGGTGAACAGAGACCGGGAAAGGACACGCACCTGCACTGTTTGAGGCGAGGATTCACGTAAAACCCAGGGACACGGGGGGACCTGTTACATTCTAGTCCACAGAGACTAAGCTAAAGATATGTGTTTACGATCACCAAACACGAAAACGGCGAGTGCCAGGTGAAGACAGGAAGGCTTATCGCAGACTACGGTGTCTTCTCGAAATCTCTCAGAAAAACTCTGCGTCTACCAGAAAGCGCAGGGTGTGATTCTGCACAGAGATCTGTGAGGTTTTCCAGATTCCCCCGGGGACAGCTGTGAGTGTAGGACCTCGGGACCGCCGCCCTGGCTGCCACCAAACGTGCTCTTGGCAGAGGCAGTAGTTACTGAACAGCTCCTTGCCACACGCCGTGGGAGACACACTGCCCTTTACGACCATCCTGCCAACTGGATTCTACTGCATTATCCTGGAAGTAACGTGTGCCCAGAGCGGAGGTGGTGTAACCAAGAAGCTTTCTGCTCTTTGTCCCCGGTTCCTGTCAGAAAGCTTCAAACAGCCTTGCCATTCCCCAGGGACGGGAGTTTTTGCTACGCTAATGACCAACCCAAGGTCGGCCCGAGATAGTAACTTCAGGGCGGGCCAGTTGTCAGAAAGACCAAGCCCGCGGTTGGAGGGTAGAAGTGGGAACCACAGCTCTGGGGAGACAGGTTCAAGTGCGCGGCCATCGACCAACAGCGACTGAGGCATACAACCGCAAGGGAAGCTCTGGGCGGCAGAGCTTGGGAGCGTCCTGCTGACGAGCACACCGCTCTCCCAGGCTGGCGTGTGCCCTGGCTCCAAAGGGAGAGGGCCCCCAACGTCTGCACTGCCCCCCACACCTGGCCGCGTGTGCATCCTTTACAACAAACAGCAACTCAAGTACAGTGAGCCTTGAACAGCGTGGGCGTCAGGGGCACCGACTGCCCCCTTCCCCCAGCCCCGCGCGCTCAAAAGTCTTGTGTAACTAACTTCTGATTCCCCAAAACGCTACTAGTGGCTACTGTTGACTGGAAGCCTTACCGGTAACATAAAAATTAACACACGTCATGCACGCTCTCTGTGTCATACGCTGTATTCTTACCATAAAGTACAGCAGAGAACAAAAACATTACGGGGGCCATAAGGAAAATACGTTTATAGGACTGCACCATGTTCACGAGAAAAAGCCGCGTGTAAGTGGACCCACGTAATTCAAACCTGTGCTGTTTAAGGGTCAACTGTATGGTGCTTTCCTGCATTCCTTTAACTGTCGTGGCGAATTACTGAACCTGAGGGTTCACCTGTAGCTGGCCGGTCAGCAGCGCGAGGGTCCTGGTGGCAGCCTCGCAGGCTCTGACACCAGCTCCGTGTGATCGGTGTCACACGGGTGACACAGGTGCTCGGCCGGTGTCACACGGGTGGGGGTGGAAACAGAACCGGTAAGAGAACAAGAGTTGTAGCCAGGACTCAAACCCAGGTCCGCTGGATTCCAGAGACGGTACTTTACTGCCGTCAAAGTACAAACCTTCATATATTTCACGGAGGTTTTACCTTTCAAAGTAACTTACAAGACCCGAAAGACAAATTCTGTGAGCTTGACGGTGGCAGACAGTTAACACCAGTGTCCACGCAGGGTGGCTACGACACAGCGGCTCATGAGGACCGCAGAGTAGTTAGCACAGGAAGAGACTCTGGGACCCTCAGTAAGAGCCGGGTGCTGACGTTATGAGCCTTTTCTAAGCCCCTCGGCTCCGATGAAGCTCGTAACAACTTTAAGTAATAGTTACCGCAGGGATGGTGACGTGGTCCCGGTATAAAACCTTGTGACTCTATCTTCAACCTTCACATGCAGTGAAGAGCCTGGTCCTTGTTTCCTATAAGCTTGGGAGAAACCGCAGGACACAAATTCTGATAACATCTGTGTGGTCAAAAGCGGACACTGGGTTTTCTGCCAACGAGACAACCTTCCGAGGACCAACACAGAAAAATCCCCCAAATCTAAGCAATAAAAGTCTTTTTTACTATCGCTCGCATAAAAGCTTCCTAAGGTTTTATTTCAACTTATGAGCCAACAAGGGATTTCCTAAACTTAACCCTCCTCTAGTGGCATGAATGTAAATCCCGGTGTCGTGGAGCGCTGACAGTCATGGGGAGCACCCCCTACCTGGCCGGTTGGTGGCCGCCATGATAAAAACCTGCTGCCGCGCTTCCAGCCCGTCCATCTCGGTGAGCAGCTGGTTCACCACGCGCACGCTCGCCCCCGTCTGAAAGGGAATGAACACACCTCCATCAGTTTCCAATAAAAAGAAAACCGCATCGTCATTCTTTTCCATACAAAGTAACGTACTAGCTAACTTCAAGAAAGCTTCTGGCAAGAGGTAACGGCGATTATTTTCTCAGTGGTCGCTACATCCCGGCACTGTGCAACACAGGGGCAGGAAGTCCCCGGAATCGTGTTATCCACTGTTCCACGAGGAAGCTGAGGCTCGGAGAGGCCACGTGTCCAGGCCTCACAGCCAGACAAGGGCAGGCCTGGCTGATCTAAATCTCGTGCCTCCAAGTTATTCAAAGATCCAATGGCTACGGGGCACCTGGGGGGCTCAGTCAGTTGAGCGTCTGTTGGTTTCGGCTCAAGTCATGGAGCCCTACATTGCGCTCTGCGCTGAGAGCGTGGAGGTTGCTTGGGATTCTCTCTCCCTCCCTCTCCACCCCCCTCCTCGAGCATACATGCATTCTCTCTCAAAATAAATAAACTTAAAAAAAAAAAAGAAAAGAAAAGATCTAATGGCTGTGGGGAATAAGTTTAGGAATTCCCTGAGCTTGCACCATGGGTTAATAAGGCATAAAGAATTAGAAAGTCACAGGGTGAACACACCCAAGTTTGGGTAAACGAGATTAGGTAAACAGGGCAAAGGCCCCCAGTATAGGACAAAGGTATAGGAATAGGAAATCTGAAGATGAAAACATCCAAGATGAAGTAAACAAGATTAGGTATTCAGGGTGGAAATGCCCCCCAACTTAGTACAATAGCTGAAAGCTGCTTTCACAGGAAGGAAGAACCAAAATAGGTGAACAGGTAAACAGGACTTAAGACCACAGCAGGGTGAAGTTGCCCAGAGCGGAGCTAATTAGCAAAACAAAGGTGCCTTGCTGACCCTGAGGTAGCATGCTCCTCTTTCTCCTTTCAGTCCCCTAGGCCAGCTTAGGTAAACAGAGGTGGGGCCTCCTGTCTGCTGTAAACAACCTTCCACACAGCCAGGATTTTGTTTTGCATTGACACAAACCCTAACACAGCATCTCTCCAAAACCCCCTTTCCCCCACGCCCATGAGTTAATGTTCAAGACTCCACTGTCTCTTTGTGCACGTCCAGTCCATCACGCTTGTAAGCCTTCCGATCCAAACAAAAAGGGAGCCAGGACCCTTACTCGGGGCTCTCGTCTCCTCCAGGACATTAGCCTCTCTCGCATTTTCAATCCTGTGTCCCAGTCTCTTGCTGGACAAGAGAGAACTCTACATCCAGAGTCGCAACAGATTTCCTACTGGGCAAATGTAGACTCAGCCTCACGAGAGCC